TGTTTTAACCTTGTTTCTTCCTAACCTTGGGTCGCTGCGATCAAGGTGTTGGTGGCAGATGACTGTACTTGCTACTAAACTAGATAGATACTTTCAAATTATTTTTTCATATGTTTCCTCANATTAAATGGCACATCTTCAACTCTCTTCACAAAAGTATTGGGGATGTGTGAAAGATATCAGAAGTAGTGAAAAAGGTGGTAATAAAATAAATGGTTAGGTACTGAAAATGAAATACTGAAACCGCTGCTCCTTTTCTTCTCGTAGAGTAGCCCTCAGGCGTACAAGTACTATAAGAGCGTAGAAAGGCGAGAGAGAAGGTGGTAGGAAGTGACGAAAAGTGATAAGAGGTGCTTGGAGGGAAATACTGGAGAGGTTGCATTTGTTGACCTTCTCGAGACCAGGTAGAGTGCCCGCCCCTACAAATTACATAAATATTGAGGAATGGAGACATAGGTGCGCTGGCGGCAGGAATTGTAAAAAGTGATACTGGCGGAAGCAATCATCATTTCTGAAATTAGTGCGCTTGAATCGAACGTGGAGAAGAATTGCTTAACACTGAGCCTCTGAGTTTTGCGAAATAAGAATATGTTTTAACCTTGTTTCTTCCTAACCTTGGGTCGCTGCGATCAAGGTGTTGGTGGCAGATGACTGTACTTGCTACTAAACTAGATAGATACTTTCAAACTATTTTTTCATATGTTTCCTCAACAGTTTGGAAAAATCGGTCTTGGTCGATGCCGGTTAACAACTACATTGTCAGGTGTGGAGCCCTGCCGCTTGTTGGGATGAATGACATGCGGTTACCGGTGCTGTCCGGCATCCTTGGTGAATGGATGTTTTTTTGGTCAGGTCTGGGCGAAGCTATTAAGAGGTTGGAACATGGAAGCCCAGCTATTGACTTGGAGACCTTGTTTGAATTGTAATTTATGAATTTTGTTCGAAAGCCCTCATGTTTTTCCATTCACAAGCCTTTGCTTGAGCCGACATGCATGGTAGCAACGTATCTGCAATCTCCCAGCTCGCCCATGTGCACACACTCAAGGATACGTCTACGAGAAAACCGAAGGAGTAAACGGATTCAACTCAGTAAGATGTGTTTCGATTGGACAGAACTCTCACAAAAGGGATCCATGGTATGATGGGAGCATGATTTATTTTCTGTTATGATATACAAGATTTCCTTTCTTCAAATTCATAACACAGTAACAAAAGCCGTTGCCTTTTCCGTCTCGTTGATTTCAAACTATTCATTTTACTTGAAAACAAGAGATCTTCTTTTTTTTCTTCTCCAATACCGTTGTGAAATGCTGGCACAGCATCCCTCAGAAGAATTCCAGACCCTCAGAAGGAAATTGACCCTTTTCTTATCGTTTTTATAATAAAACGCAGATAGGTAACATTAAGGTTACTCCTGGTGGTTGGTTTTCTTCTATTTTTCGTCTTATGTCCATCCAAGCGGTAGCCTGCGATACACTTACACGGCCGATGAGGAGCCGATTAACCAGGCCTGTTGTTACGACCGAGCACAAGCACTATAGTCTCGTGTTTTAGAGTCCCGATGAGTGTGAACTTTGAAATGCCACTTTCTCTGGAATTCCTTAGAAACCACTGATCCAATTCCAAAGTATTCTTCCCAAACAAGAGTTGCCCTTGAGCTCGAGTGTAGGTCACGTGCACGGCTCATTGAAGAAGAGTTGTGAAGGTCAACTTATGAGTCCGGGTCATGAAAAGAGGAAGGAAATTCCTCAGTTCACTACGAAATCGAATTGGTTTCTCAAAAAGAGGAGGTGTGATTCCGTTGTTGATATAATGAGGTCACACCGGACACGTTGCGCACGACGCGGTGCGCGGCATGAGTGAAGCCGAATGTCGTTGTGACCATTGGGAACAACTGGGCGCGCTTCGTCTTAATCGCATTAACATAGGCATCGACAAACAAAGAAAATTACTGAAGAATGGAAGCAAAGGAAACGTGTCCAGAGGCTAGGCTCGCATGCGAACAGAAGAAACCAAAGTCAAAATATTAATTTTTCGAAAGAAGGAACCCCCTCGTCAAGGCACACTAAGGTTGTGTCGCTGCATGCTTACGAAAACAGGCGCAAGTCTCAATTGCAGTGGGTCGAGGACCCCGTATGCGGTATGACCTCATTACCTTGACGGTAGAATTACAACGAACCCGATTAGAATTGAGAGCCGTGCCAAATGGTTTCGTTGAAGAATGGGTATTGCTTCTACAATAACCCACTCCGCTTTTCATACCAATGGACTTGATTTGACGTCACTGTCGACGAAATTCGCTAGTCTCTGATCTCATTATCGACGAAGTCCGCTCCGGACTTCGATTTTCTGATCGCACCCTATTTGCTTCTCCCCTCCCCCTCCCTTCCACTTCGGCTAATCTCTAGTCTCAGCTCTCGAAACTGACCGGAAGAACGCCCTGCCTCGCACGACTTTCCGGTGATTTCCCGTGCTGACCTGCACCACTAACACCACTTTAGAAGTGCTGGTGAAAGAAGCACTCTCCCCACAGCAAGTCTCCGTGCCATGTTACTCCTACTATTTCTCGCTTCAATAACTCTTCAGCCAATTTCTTCATCTCTTCTTTCCCACATTTATTTATTTGCATTTATCATTAATTCAAAGCAATTAAATCGAGTCCGAGAACAAAATTTCCCATAACCATTTTTGTTAATGCACCGGCGCCTTCTTAAAAACTGTTGGGGAAATCCTGAATCTTGTCCTGAATCCCTCGGGGTTCCGATAACCGCCTGATCCAAGTTTGTAAATAGATCTACGTAGACGTAGATGACTTGTTTGCATACTTGTGTTACTCGATCAAAGACGATAGCAGCCTTATCACATCAACCGATCAGTATTTCGATCGAGCACGTCCCATTAGCTCCTTTCAAAGTCACTTTCAGCTAATGACGATTTTAATCTGATCAGCGAACCGTCACTACCATTCCGGTCACTTACCAATCACCAATCACTTGGTGAACTGTGATTGGTGATTGGTAGATGACCGGGAATGATGTTGACATTCTTTGTCAGGGCTTCCGAAAGATTCAAGTGAATTATATGCACTCCTGACATAACTTCGTGAAGTACGAATATCCTAAAGAGTTATTCTCTGTCAAGTGGTCAAATGTGGTGTAGTGGCAAGCGGTACACTTCACACTCGCATGGTCTCGGGTTCGACACCCGGATCGATATCCTCCTAGGCCAACCAAACCTTCATCTCTGCAGGGGCGAATCCCTCAGACGGGATTGTCTAACGCCAAAAATCCTGATTATTTCTTTGCTGTACAACTTACTTTGAAGATTTTTAGGATAACTCCTTTCAGATGTGAATTTTCTTGCTACTGACTATTTAAAAGCTTCTTTTCTGAAGAGAACTAAGCGCTTCTAACGGACAGCTCTTCACAAGCTGCTTCAACAAAGATTTAAGTGGTTCTCTACATTAGTAATTGCTGGAAATAACCATCTGTCAGAGCGCCTAAAATAGGATTGTGAGGAGTCAATAGGGAGATGGAGAGTGCAGGAGGACATTGATCGGTGCGTCTGGATCTTTTCACCCTACATACGACTCATAAATATGTCCCACATTCAACTATATACCTTACAGTTAGCTAGTAATGACTTTCTATATTCTTTAATTGTGATTTGCATTTACTAAGTGTAAAACAACGGTGACCAGCGTTAATCAATTGTTTGGAGTGTGATTTCGACATTCCTGAACAAAATTCTTTCTTCGAATCGACTCAATGAACAGAATGTCCTACAGCATTGCCTCTACTTGAAAATCTCCTATCTGCTTCTTCGTTTCCATGGAAAAGTTTTTTCCATGCAATAATCTCTGAGAGATTTCTGCATTGTGACAGGATAAGTGCTCAATTCAGCCAATCCACTTCATATAACCGTTTGTTCTGAAGNCAATTGTTTGGAGTGTGATTTCGACATTCCTGAACAAAATTCTTTCTACAAATCGACTCAATGAACAGAACGTTCTACTGCATTGCCTCTACTTCAAAATCTCCTATCTGCTTCTTCGTTTCCATGGAAAAGTTTTTTTTCCATGCAGTAATCTCTGAGAGATTTCTGCATTGTGACAGGATAAGTGCTCACTTCAGTCAATCCACTTCATATAACCGTTTGTTCTGAAGTCTTTTTTGCATCTCTCTCACAGATACCCTTTTTTGCTGTCGGTATCAAAAGCTGCTGGCGTAGGCGTAGGCCAGTTGAAGACGAAACGAACCGAGCAGCAGGGACGATTTCTTGAAACCACACAAAGTGACACCTCACAGAAATGCGCCATGTTTGCGTTTCACGAGCTCTTGCTCTCCGATTCTTAAATTTCCAGTTTCTTCGGGCTAGCTGCTCTTTCTCATTTGAGTCATCAACCTTTCACACCAATCTTCGGACGCTTTTTGCTTGGCCCTGCTTTCAATAGTGGTCAAATTCGTTTCCATCTCATTGGTTATATTCCACGTTTCTAAGACTGTTATCCATAAATCAAGCATAACCGAGCAATCACTTTCCGGAACAGTAGATTTGTTCTCCTGACTTTATTCTCATGGTTAAATCGTAGACATCGAGCATTTCCATTGAAAAGTGATATTGAATACTGAAGATTCTATGAGATTCAAAAGAGATCCAAAGCCGGAGCGTTTTTGACTTTGTTTTTGACTTGAGCTTCTTTTTTGAGAGGGCTCGATTCCTATGAGATCAGAATACTATTAAATGCCATATTTTGTATTTGCGCAATCAATCCTTTTTCTCCAATCAGCATTTCAAGCAGGTTTTGTTTTGTTATCGTGGTGTCAACTCGCGCACCACACACGACCTCCACCGCTGAATAATCCCGCGGACCAAAAAACGGCCGTCCACTCTCCAGGTTTCGTCCGCAAATGGGAGAGCGTGAGGTCGATTTACCTCAACTATTCAACGACGTCTCGCGCACCATCAGCGGCATATCGAACATTATGGGAGCCGTTCCGAGTAAAGGTCAGTCATCTGATTTCGAACTACTTTTAGGAAGGCTAACAACTTTCAACGGAACTTCTCAAACCCAGTTACCGTAGTGTAGCTGTATCGATTCAAGCTCACAAAAATGTGTCGTGCATTTGGGATACGTCCCAAGTCACTTGAGCCCATATGATAGGCAGTTTACAAACTGCCGATCAGTTCACATTAGCGCCCAATTTTTAAATAGCACATGTGAGAAATTCAGCTGGAATCTGCAGGTATCAATCGCTTGGGTAAGGTATACGTGACGCGTGCAGCTCCCAGCAGTGATACTGCGCAAACCTCTTGCGCCCCGATGGAGCAATCAAAATCCTCATAAATTCTAGACCTTTCACGTCACGATGGATTGTGATCATTCTAGGGAAATTACAGAGACCGCCCATCGCGAAAATCCGCATGCCAGTAGTCGTAGTTCCATTCGAAATGTCTTGGATTTGCGATTGAGCAACCTTTTGCCACTCGAAAATCGGGGTGCGTAATCGGACCATGACTTTCAGTGTGTGTTTTTCTTAACTATCGCGCGTGAATCATCTTTTGATTAACTGCCATTGAGCTGCAGATTGAATCATTCCCCATCCACGGTTCATATAGATAAATCGGTGGGTGTCCGAACTTCGCAAGATTGAGGTCAATTCGCACCTCCGCACAAGGCGGCCTTAATCGAATGTGGACCTTCATATTCACTATACTACCCAAATATCGTTATTGAAAAATAGAAAAATAACAGTTAGGAAGCGAGTGACGAGAGAAACTGGGTTTTTGATAAGATAGTTCTCAGTATGATTAGTGAGGAGTTTTATTTTCGTGCAGCATGAATATTGGGCTGAGTAATAAGTAAGTTCGCTTTTTTTCGAGACAACGTAAAATCAAAAAAAAAAATAAAAATATTTTTGCTTTCCCATCCCCCACCCCACCCCAAACGGTATAGAGGGAGGTCGGCCTAGTTTCATACCGCGAAACTTGAAAGTCCTACCCGTCTCTGTGAAGTAATGATGTTGTTCACTTCGACTCATAATCGGAACTGTCTTCTTTACGGGTCCTAATTGTAAGACATGACGCGTCCGATTCTTTCACGGCTTAAGTCCTGTGCACTTCTGCCGCAAAAGGATCGACGCTATAAGTGAGAAGACCTATCTTTTGCATCCTGTCCTCTTGTCTGCGAAGGCAACTACAGCCTTGAACTTCAACCATATTTGGGACCATAGATTCTGGTCGAAGCGAGGAGCTCTTACAAAGTAACCCATACGCTGCTAACTGTCAGCCTGCTGCGGACATGTAGTGCTTCTAGAGCGCGAGCGCTATGAATCTTTCCCTCCGAGCATTGGACAACTAGCACAAGCCCGAGAGTTGGATACCATACGGACTACGGGAGACTGCTGTGGGGCGGATGTGAACATTTGGCTAAGTTTGGTGTCCAGATGTTGCCGAATGCTCTACGTTTTGTGGAGTGCATGTTTCCCATACTACGATCTTCTGAGGTTTTCTGGTAAATGGAAACACTTGAAACACTGGAAACACTAATCATAACTTATTACTCAAACTGATATATAATTTCAATAAATTTGAAGTTGAAAACTCTGTATGAGCGAATATTCCTGTCCATAGAAATGAAACTCTTAATCAGTAATGCTGAAGCTTTCCCTGTTTAGAATTATGTTTTCTCTCTAGACGATGCACCTTCTTACCGTTGTTATTCTCTTCAGTTACTTATCATTTGGTCGCCTAATAACGATATGCATATAACGAACATGGGGTTTTTAACTAATCAAGGTCGACCAGCGCCGAGGTGTGAAGTGACCTCAATCGTACAATAGTTCCCACACCCCACGATTTATTTATCTGCAAACATGACAGAGGTGGACTCTCAACAACGATTTCTGGAAGAGTTTCAAGACCGAAACCGTCAATTCTACTCAACCGTGGGATTCACTTCTGAATCACGATTTTGTACAAGCGGTACTATCACAGTCCCACTCGATTGACCATTCCTGCTTACCATCAGTGCTCGAAATCTATTTGTATTCGGTTTTTCTTAAAAGCACAGTTCACGACAAATTCGAGGTGCCTCTTTTAATTCAAAAAGCGGGGGGGGGGGGGGGGTTTATTCGAAAAGCATAAGTATAGATTGGGAATAGTTCATCGGTAGTAAAAAAAGCGAGAAAACTCGCCAATTTCAAGGGAAATAAGGCTCTTAAAAAGTATGGAAATTGAGGTTGGACGAGATTAACATGGAAGGGGCGTTCGGACGAGATTTCAATTGTGGCAATTGCGCCAAGAAATGACTATCTCACGCCTCAGCTGTCTGGAAATGTCTTTCACTGTCGCTATGGGTCAGGGCAAGTTGCTTGAGCCTCCTCTATGAGTTCCCTTGTGAATGGTGCAGCCTCTGCAGTGCCGGTGAAACTCGTCCGGGGATACAGACGATACAATCTTTAGCCTTTATAACGCCCTAAGTAGGCCGTTTTCCGACGTGATAGCGCCGGCTATGGTATACGAGGGGGCCTAGAATTCGATCCATGGCGAAATCTCTGAGACCATTTTTATCGTGAACTGTACCTTTAACCCCTATATTGAACATGACGTTTAGTAAACAATACCAATAGGTTGCACTGCTTCTGAAAAGTAACAAGTTCACGTTCGAGGGACCAAGAACAACCTATTTTCATTTGGTCCACCCATGCTACTTTTCTATAAGCCTCTGACATCCTAACAAAAAAAAAATTTCTTTTTGTTGGCAAATATTGGTCTCGCCGTCTTAGCATTGTCCGGCTGGAGGAATCAGGGAGACTTGCGTGAAGGGCATTCACCTCCACGCTGATAAATGCCTCATCTTCGGGACAGAACTGCCAAGCTACATGGGTGTAATATTGATGCTTTTGAACAAATAAGCGGTTTTATATACAAGGATGATTATGGAGATGCTTCATCTTGGGATACATCAAGCGATCCTTGACGAATTTGAGTTTTTAATCGAGAACCTTAATCAGGGGAGGATGTTTGAAGGCACAGAATCTGCAGAGTATACGTTTTTTGATTCAGACCGAATATCGGGCTGACAGAGCTGGTACCCAAGTGTTCACACCTTCAGAAAACTATGATATTTCCTTATAGGCAGTGCTTTTGATAAAAAAAACCCTCAGTTAAATTGGGGTTCTGCTTCGAATTTCTTTTCCTTCCAGGTGCTTTGTTGGTCCAATTTTTTCCGAAAAAAAAANAAAAAAAAATAAACACTCGAGTGGGACTGGTTATTTCATTTGCATTTACCACTGAACCGAGTTGAGTGAATACATCTGATTATCTTGCACTGCTGGAAGTTATACTGCAGCCAGTACTGACGGATTTGGATTTCTTAACATCGCACCTGAGCCAATGTTTACGGGCTTGTCCGGTTGCTCCCTTAATTCCACCACTCACGCGGATCAGCGATTTAGCAAACATTTCACCTCACACCCTCGATCACGAAGATCACATCACCATTCCTTTCTTCTTAAAATTTCACAGACTCATGTTCATTCATATCTGAGTCCTCAATGTTTCACTCAGTCGCTCCAATTCAGATCCGTCTAACCCTTCAGCACAACACGGCGACAAATCCTCAGTGGTCAGTAATCTGTTCGGAAACACGTGCTTCAAAACATGCGGGATGGAAGATATACAGTATGCTGCAAGGGTACGGTACTGTAATTTCGAGCTGGTTAGTATTACCAAAACTACTTTCGTTTCAGTCAGCAGGCGACATGCTAATTTCATTGCGGATCTGCGTTGTGGCTACAACAGTAGTCCTTCTGCTATGTATGATTACTCTTACTGGTGCGGTTCTATTTGTAATTTGGAGGAAGGTTGGTTAGTTAGTCCTTCTTTGAAATAGTTCATCTTCAAGCGTGGAGGTTATCCCATAACAAAACTAGCAACATAGCAGTTTTTAGTCGAAGACCCATAACGCCCCTCTTAAGCTTCTCCATAATCGAAGGTCGATCCCGTTCCCGATAAAATATTTCCTGTACCTCCAGTTTCATCGACTTCTTGTCAGAGAACAGTTCCTTTCTGCAGCGACCTGCTTTACACGTAATGAAATCCTGCACTAATCTACATTTGAAATAAAATGTTCTCTTCAAGGGGAAGACATTTTATGAAATTTTCTTGCAGCCATCCTCATCACGATTCCCGCTCCCAGCCTTCGTACGTGATAGGTTTCAAGCCCGAACAGATATCAGCAAAGAACCGTCATCTTCTTAAGATATCGCTACTGCACGATCTTTACGAGAAGCAGTTTCTCTCCTTCATTTAAGTGTGCCAGTCCTTTTGCAAGTTCTATTAGAAGAGCTCAACGTGTTCACTGATAACCTAGTCTAAAGTGAGCTTTACAAGTATGTGATTTATACTCTGCAAATTACTTACATCATCGAATTTTGTTAAGATGTCTAATATTTGACATGTATAATATAATATAATGTATATTTTCCAAGGAAAAGTTCAGTATCGGATAAAGCTGAATTGCTGTTGAGGTACTTCCTGTTCGTTTGCGGGCAGAAAAGCCTGTTGGGCAGAAAAGTTGTGATTATCACAGGCCTGCTGGCTTTACTGTCGCTCCATCAATTTTCCTACACCCCCTACATATGCACCCTGCAATCCGCCTCTAAAACCCTAACTACCGCAGAAAAGTGAGCATCTGTTGAGCGTGGTACTACACCCCACCGGATAGGCCCCTCCATTTTCCAAGGCTTTCAAGGAAATATAAACTCTCGGTAGGTATTTTGCTCCGTTCAAACGAGCACTGGTCTGGATTGTCTGGGGCGAAAAGATTAAAAGCTTGGTGTTATTACCGGAGGGAACGCTAAAGCACCAGCTATGTGGTAGTTTAAAAACCGACTTATAACAAAAAAAAAACGGAAAAAAGCGGAATTATCTTTTCGTTTTTTTTGTGAGAGATTTCGGAGCTACGTTTTTCAAGAGTTCATCAGATGGTAACTTGTAAATTTGGAAGAGCATCGTGCTTAGATATAAATTGATTTTGGTGCTCACTCCTAGGTTTGAGTTGACCACTTTTTTGGATTCACAAACCTTGAAGGATGAGGTTTGAAAGAGCTTTTCAAGGGTTCGGAAGTAGTCAGAAAAATTAGCGAGGAAATGTTGTCAGTGTTTGCTTCACTAGAAGGATGGTATGTTGCGAATACTTCAAAATTTTCGAAGTTTTGAGAGTCTTCAAAGCAGTGATTATGAGCGTAAGGTATGGACCAACTCATTGTGAAAAATAGTTACTTCAGACGTATTTCCTCATGACAGATTTCTAGAACGCACCACCGCTTCGCTTTCTTTCCAAAATTAAGGTGACATTCGAATATGTGCTAGGTTTCAAAGTGGAACAGAGGTGTAGACTAATTAGGGGGTTGGCTTTCATACAGTTCTCCACAGAAATTTGGGTATTCTTCACAACTTGTGATTTAGAAACTCTGGGCATTGTGGTCACATGAAACCTATCAGCTACTGATGAGAAAGTTGTTGAAAACCAACTAATCGGGATGGGTAGGCGGATCAGAAAGATGAGAAAGAAACGGAGGTACACAGAACCTACTAATCCACTTCGGTCGGAGACGAAACCGAAAAGAATTGGAGAACATGAATGAAGAAATTTCTCGAGTACAATCATATTGAAATTCTCACAGGGTTGGTGATCTATGGACAAAACTTCGGCCTCGGACGAGATTCGAACCCATACTTGGCATCGCCCTCTTATCCATTACATTTCCGAGACCCCGCTTACCCTCGCAGTCAACTTTGTGAGACTTTCTGCGAATAATTGGTGGCATAAAATCCATCAAAAAGGTTTAGTCCAAGCAGGAACTAGGTACTGTGAGGGATAAGAGTACGGTGCCAAGGTAGCACAAGTACTTCGAGACCCGTTCGTGGCCGAAGTTTTGTCCATAACTCGTCAACCTTGTGAGACATTCGTATCGCGTACTGCGGCAGTTAATGGCACAGTTCACGATAAAAATGGTTTCTGAGATTCCCCTACAGGATGGATTTGAGGCCCCATACCATATCTGGA